GTGTCGGGGCTTCGAAAACCCGCCCCAGGAGGTCCCGTTTGGCATGGTGTCGGGCCCCGTCCGCGGCGGATGGTCTCCCGTGGGGAATCGGGGCCAGATTCTCCACGGGAGACCCCCCGTCGTGGACAGGGTCCGTCGGGCGGTATATGGCTTCCGGGCGGTATACGGCCCCCGGGCGGCATACGGCCCCCGGGGGGTGATTTTGGGTATATTTTAGTGATTGTCAGTGTTTTTTTTTTTTGTGGTTTTGGCTATATTTTAATGATTTCTAGTGTTTTTTTGTTCAGTTTTGGGTAGTAATGGTCCCGGGAGGTCCCGTTTGTCATGGTGTCGGGGCTTCGAAAACCCGCCCCGGGAGGTCCCGTTTGGCATGGTGTCGGGCCCCGTCCGCGGCGGATGGTCTCCCGTGGGGAATCGGGGCCAGATTCTCCACGGGAGACCCCCCGCCGCGGACAGGGTCCGTCGGGCGGTATACGGCCCCCGGGCGGTATACGGCCCCCGGGGGGTGATTTTGGTCATATTTTAATGATTTCTAGTGTTTTTTTTGCAGTTTTGGGTAGTGATGGTCCCGGGAGGTCACGTTTGGCATGGTGTCGGGGCTTCGAAAACCCGCCCCGGGAGGTTCCGTTTGGCATGGTGTCGGGCCCCGTCCGCGGCGGATGGTCTCCCGTGGGGAATCGGGGCCAGATTCTCCACGGGAGACCCCCCGCCGCGGACAGGGTCCGTCGGGCGGTATACGGCCCCCGGGCGGTATACGGCCCTTGGGCGGTATATGGTTCCCGGGGGTGATTTTAGGTATATTTTAGTGATTTTCAGTGTTTTTTTTTGTGGTTTTGGAGGTATTTTAATGATTTCCAGTGTTCTTTTGTAGTTTTGGGTAGTAATGGTCCCGGGGGTCCGTTTGGCATGGTGTCGGGGCTTCGAAAATCCGCCCCGGGAGGTTCCGTTTGGCATGGTGTCACGGGTCACGCCCCGAAAATTTGGTTCCAGGAGATCCCGTTTGGCATGGTGTCGGGCCCCCTAGACCCGCCCCGGGAGGTTCCGTTTGGCATGGTGTCGGGCCTTCGAAAACCCGCCCCGGGAGGTTCCGTTTGGCATGGTGTCGGGGCTTCGAAAACCCGCCCCGAGAGGTTCCGTTTGGCATGGTGTCACGGGTCACGCCCCGAAAATTTGGTTCCGGGAGGTCCCGTTTGGCATGGTGTCGGGCCTTCGAAAACCCGCCCCGGGAGATTCCATTTGGCATGGTGTCGGGGCTTCGAAAATCCGCCCCGGGAGGTCCCGTTTGGCATGGTGTCGGGCCCCGTCCGCGGCGGATGGTCTCCCGTGGGGAATCGGGGCCAGATTCTCCACGGGAGACCCCCCGCCGCGGACAGGGTCCGTCGGGCGGTATATGGCCCCCGGGCGGTATACGGCCCCCGGGCGGTATACGGCCCCCGGGGGGTGATTTTGGCCATATTTTCATGATTTCTAGTGTTTTTTTTTCAGTTTTGGGTAGTAATGGTCCCGGGAGGTCCCGTTTGGCATGGTGTCGGGGCTTCGAAAACCCGCCCCGGGAGGTCCCGTTTGGCATGGTGTCGGGCCCCGTCCGCGGCGGATGGTCTCCCGTGGGGAATCGGGGCCAGATTCTCCACGGGAGACCCCCCGCCGCGGACAGAGTCCGTCGGGCGGTATACGGTATACGGCCCCCGGGCGGTATACGGCCCCCGGGGGGTGATTTTGGGTATATTTTAGTGATTTTCCAGTGTTTTTTTTTTTTTTTTTTTTTTTTTTTGGGGGGTTTGGCAATATTTCAATGATTTCTAGTGTTTTTTTGCAGTTTTGGGTAGTGATGGTCCCGGGAGGTCCCGTTTGGCATGGTGTCGGGGCTTCGAAAACCCGCCCCGGGAGGTCCCGTTTGACATGGTGTCGGGCCCCGTCCGCGGCGGATGGTCTCCCGTGGGGAATCGGGGCCAGATTCTCCACGGGAGACCCCCCGCCGCGGACAGGGTCCGTCGGGGGCTCCCCGTGAGCTCTGTCTGCGGCGGATGGTCTCCCGCCGTGGGGAATCGGGGCCAGATGCTCCATGGGACACCCCCCGCCGCGGACAGGGCCCGTTGGGGCTCGGTGTAGAGAGGGGTGGCCCCTTCGAGTGCCGCGCAGCGGCTGTGCGCCTCAACTCAGCTGCGCGGTAGCGTTGGGTTCGAGAGTTGCGCGCCGGGGCTCCTGTCGGGTAGGAGATTCGAAAGTTGCAGATGGACTCCACCGCAATGTTTCGCGAGGTCGCCCTGTGCGGGTTGGCGCAGGAGCAGGGCATCGCCGCTCTACGGGCGTGCCTCGCCGACGCCCGCGGCGATGAGACACTTCGCTTCACCGAGATCACTTCTGCCATGGCACGTCGTGCTGTCGTGTGGGGCGATTCCTCGGCGTGGGGTGACATAAAGGTTGTTCTCCAGACTCGCTTGGCCCCCGGCTCTCGGCCGTTGCCATCCGAAGTCATGTCCGTCTGTGCTGCCCATTTCCGCGATGCAGATTTCATCGTTCCCGACCCCAAGGAGGACGCTGTCATTGTCCACGGTGGGCTGGACAACGGGTACGGGTCCGCGGAGGATGGGTGCCACTTCTTGCCGCTGCTCCATGTCGACGAGTACCGCCTGTTGCCCCCGTGCTCGTCACCGAAATGGGCCGACATGGTGGCGGCCGTCGCCGCTCGCAGTGGTGATCTCGCGCTGGAGTCGCGAGTCCGTGACGGGGGCGACTGCTACTTCCACGCGCTTCTCGTCCTCCTGCATTTCCGGGGCGTGCTCATGCTCGCGCCGAGCGGCGTGTCCGCGGCCCCGGGGGGAGGTGGTGCCGGGGCTGCCCCGAGCCCACCTCCTCCCCCGAGCTCACCAGCCGGTCCAGTCCCAATCGCTGACGGCCCGCTCGCGGGGTTGCGCCCCCCTGCGACGCCTCGGAAGAGCCCCGAGCCCGACTCTCAGCCCCCGCCTGAGTCGCCCATTCCCGCGGAGCAAGCGTCACCTGCGACTCAGGTCTCTCTGCCGAGCACACAGTTCACCTCCTTCAGGAATGGTGCGCGGTTTGAGGATTCCTTTGCAGCGAGTGCCAGTCTTCGCGTCCCGGACCCCACGGGCGAGAGCGTCGCCGCATTGCAGGCCAAAATCGAAGGGCTCCCAGAGGACGAGGCATCGAACGCGATCGAAGAGTTCCTGTTTCCTGACATCGTCTTCGAGGGTTTTAAGACGAAGGAGGAGGTCTACGAGACAGTGCGCCAGAGGGTCATGAAGGCGTGGGAGGACGCCCGGTCTCACCGCCAGATTGCCAGCGAGCTGGATTTCGATTTGCGCACCATCGCGCCGAAGCTGTTGGCGGACGCCGTGCACACCGCAGGAAAGGCCCGGGGTCTCTCTGCGGAGGCGCTGCTCTCCGCCGTGGAGTGCAACATGGGTTTCATCGAGGCGCCCGGAACAAAGCTGACGCACTTGCGGATGTCAGGCCATTACATTTCCCCTGGCCAGCCCCTCTTGATCGGCAGCGCGTCCTCCACGCGGAAGTCGGCCTTGATGCAGTGCACGGACAAGTGGTTGACGCAGGTCCCGGAGGCCTCCCCTGTTTTCAAAGACAAGTTGGTCATGAACACGGACTGCACCCACGAAGGGCATTCGGAAGCAGCTTGAAGAACACGGCCGGTGCGGCATCTCCAGCGACGAGGCCGCAAACACGTTCCAGACGCCCTTCAGCGACGTGGAGTCCGGGGTGCACTATCTCAGCTGCGCGAAGCTTAACACGTGGACGCAGAGCGAGCACGACGGACCGGCGACTGGCAACGGCAAGGTGTCTTTGGACAATTACAATTTCATGCTCAAGTGCGCGGGCCAGACAGAGGTCGTCGAGTTTATCGTCATGCCGAAAGTGCACGGGTTCCAGAAGCGCATGCAGACGGTGTGGGTTCTCCACGACAGCGGGTCAACCTTGGGCCCATCATATTTCGCCATTCCGAGCTTGGTTGCGATTTTCCGCCGCGTGTCTCTTGGCCTCGCTCCCCGAGCCCACAGGTTCTGGCCCCTCCTAATCTTTTCCTTTGGTCCCGTCCTGGTCGTGTCCCATTCTCGGGGCTGTTCTCGAGTGGCTTGGAGCTCGAGGGCTCCCCTGGCGTTTTGGGGGAGACCAGCCCTCTTCGGATCGATGTTGTTCCTATGTGAAGCGGCTCCTGCGGGGCCCTCCAGGACGTGCGCGCGGACGACGGGGTCGATTCCGAACAGAGCGACTCCTTCATCGAGCGTCTGCACGGGTGGATGCACGAGCATTGTTCTGAAGTCGCCAGCGTTCTCTCGCTCGACGGCTTCGCCTACACCATATACCGTGCTGCGAAGCGGGCTTTTGATGATATCTGTCAGACCGTGCCAATGCCGCCGGCATTCAAGACGAAGTTGAATTTCTTTCACAGCGACTTGCTTCGCGCAACGCACCGGGTGCACCGCGGGAACCAGTTCGCCAGGCATTTCATCGCCCGGCATGCTGCCCAGGGCGACGACGCCCTGGCGCCGCAACCGCCTTTTGATGCTGCTTGCGGGCGTTGTCTTCCTAGTGTGAACGAAATCACGATGGGGCTCCACAAGGTTCTCCGCCAAATTGAACTTCACTTCGGGCTGTGCCGCTTCCACGTCGCCCACGCTGCCGAGGGCAACCATCGCTCCGGCGCCGACGGCAGGTGCGCAGGCGGATCTTCGGCGGCCGTGCTGGCCGCTCCTGACGTCGCGGAGATAGCGATGAGGGCCCTCATGCCGTCCGAGCTGATGCGGCAGTTCCTGCTCACTCGCGCTCCCAAGGGGCAGATTTTCACGGAGGCGGATGCGAGGCAGTGGCTCAGGAATAAGAGGGACACGTGGTTCAGAACGGACCTGGCAAAGAAGATCTCCGACGGCTTGACAGCGCTGGTCGCGGCTAATCTCCTGGACAGGGTCGCGGACTCCGCCGATGCGGGGGGCTCCACGCAGAGGGCCAAGGCGGCGCAAGGCGGCTGGGGCCTGGAGCGTCGTGGTCTAGCGAGTTGGCACTGCCGCGTCCAGGGGCTCCCGTCGCTCTCCCCCGTCACTCCGGGCCAGTGGGGCCCAGGCATCAATCGTCGGCAGTTTCCCTGGAATCAGTGGATAGTTCCCTGTGTTGCCCCCGAGATTCTTTTGGTTTCGCAGTGGGAAATCCAGGTCTCATTCAGACCGGAGTGCCCGGGCTTTCGATGGTCGTTCAGCGAGCCCACGAGGCAAGCGCAAGGGCAACCCCAAGGGCAAGGGCATGTTCAAGAAGCGAAAGCTCGAGGAGATCGTTGCGGACGCAGATGCCACGGAGGAACGCAAGCGCCTGCGGGTGAGCACGAGCGAATTCGAGTGATGGGGGCGGCAAATTCGCGCGCCGAGAGGGGTCGTCAGGTGACTTCTACGCTTCTCTCCCAGCGCAGACTGCATTCTCGTCGCGCTGGTGATTGGGGACACCGGCTTGCAAAGAGCGTATAGGTCGGTGGCCGGGGTTGCCCCGCGATCGGCTGTGTCGGCCCAGTCTTTCAGTGACCTCAGCTAAGCTGCGGGCATCATCTGGTCTGCCCTGAAATCGGCTTCGGCGGCTCTTGCTAATCTACTTCTCCCCTCCTCGACTCATTGAAGTTCCCTCGCTTCCTCCCCTCCAACGACGCATCAGCCGTGCTGCTTCGTGCGATCGGGGCGCGCGAAGTTGCATTTTCTGCTGTCACCCGCGTTTAAAGCATGCCGCGCTTAAGTGCGTGCATCGCGCTCTCCTGGGGCGGCTTTTGGGGTGAGGACACCGTGTTGTACCTGGGGGAAAGAGTGGCGCGGATTGCCCTTGCCATGGGAGGGAACAGAGGCGGCCGTACACGGTGGAGGATAACATACGTTGGCTGAGGTACCACGAGAAGGAGTGCTCAAGTCTGCCTGGGTGGCTGGCGCTGACCAAGGGAATGGCCGTGGCTGTGGGAGATCACTTGGATCGGTCCAAGAAACAGTTTCTGCGGGGGCGCACAGCCACGATCCATGGATGGGTGTTGCACGAGGACGAGATCGTGGGAGATGAAGAGGAGGGAGTGATGTTGCATTTTCCATACGTTGGAGTGGCACCTGCCAGGGTGGGAGCTGGTGCTGTATCCGATCTTTCCATCGAAAGGGCGGCAATGGTTCTTGGACGGGTATCGGAAGCATCCTGTGTTGAGTTTGAAGCGCTCCCAATTTTTTGATAATCCCGCGATTGGTGTTAACGGCGCATGTTGCCCAGGGGCGGACCATGGCAGCAGTGATAGCTGACCTCGAAAGAGGGCGCGGCGTGAGTTGGATGTGCAGTTACGTTGCCATCGCGCGCGTGGTCAGACGGGAGAATTTGCTGATCTTCCGCCCGTTTGATGCGAGTCCGTACAACGCGGGTGCGATGGCGGGCACGAACAAACTGTTGCAAGTGCTGCGAGGGGAGAGCGTGAATTGGGATGAGTGGGAGGCGGAATTAATGCCACGAGAGCAGTGCGAACGCTGCCGGCGGAGGTTGGTGGTAGAGGCGTTCACGAAGTACGAGTTCCAGAGAAAGGAAAGGTCAGCGTTCTGCAAAGAGTGACGACGCGGCACGCTATGGCAGTGGTCGGAACGCGGACGCGGCTGCCGACGACGGGGAAATGAAACAGATCAGGAAAATGTACTGCGCGAAGTGTAGCCATGTCAAAGCAAAGCAGAACTCGCGGAAAGGCAACGCGAAGTGGAACGAGAGCGTCGGCACGGTGCGATGTACGAACGGGAAACGCCTGTCGCTGTATGATGAAAAGGCGGAGATGTCCTCAGTTCAGAAAAGGCACAATGCTGCGGTGGAAAGATTCTGTCGGAAATGCGTGGAAGAACGAGAGAAAGGGGTGCGACGGGGCAATGCGGTGGCAGCGAATCGCAAACGGAAAGCCGAGGCGGACGCGAAGCCGCTGACGTGCGCGGCGTGCGGAGAAGCGTTCAGGCACGAAAAATATGTTGCAAGTGCTGCGAGGGGAGAGCGTGATGTGGGATGAGTGGGAGGCGGAATTCATGTTACGAGAGCAGTGCGAGCGCTGCCGGCGGAGGTTGGTGGTAGAGGCGTTCACGAAGTTTCGTGGTGGTGATTTTTTGCGGGGCTTCTCGCGGGAATTTTGGAGGCAGTTACGCAGCGTCTTGGGAGCCGTTTTGGGGCCGTTTGGGGCCTTTTTGGATGCCTTTTGGGGGTTCTTGGGGCCTCATGGAGTTTGCTGTGGCCGTCAAGGGGCGGAAGGCTCGGATTGTCGTTTGAAGTTCCCCCTCTCGGGCCTCTCTTGGGGATGTCTTGGGAACCTCTTGGGCCGTCATTGGGGCCTCTTGGGCCGTCTTGAAAATGTACGTTTTCCGATGAGTCTTTTTGGAGGTTTTTGGGGTGTCTTGGAGATTCCTTGGTTTGTTTTCGGCCGATCTTGGACGGGTTGGAACGCTCGCTTGGTGTCTTGGAACCCTCGTGGGTCGTGTTGGAGGTCTCTTGGGACTTTCTTGGCTTGTCGTGAGCTTCTTTTGGGCGCAAAGAGGCCGTGACGCGCTTGTAGGGGGCCCGGGTGGGGAGGGGCCCGGGGGAGCGGGGGGGGGGGTCGAATCGCTGGTTTGGGGTCCCTGGGCGGGGATTATAGGGGGGGGGGTGAATTATTTCACAGGCCTAGAGACCCACGGGGAGGAACTATCTCACACCCACCAGCCCCGTGGGGCAGTCTGAGAGATGCCGCGGGCGTTGTCCCCGCGCAGTTTCGCCCTCCTCCTCTTCCTCCCCTCTCCGCGCCAGAGGTTCTCCGCCGTGGAGGGGGGGCTCGGGTCGAGACGGGTGGCCCCTTCAAGCTGCGCCATCGTCGCGGGCGCAGGATCTTCATCGTCGCCATCCAACGCGTCGGCGGGGGGCTCGGGGTAGAGAGGGGCGGCTCCTCGAAATTGCGGCGGAGGGATCGTCGCCGCCGCGTCGTCTTCATCGTCTTCATTTATTCCCCATCAGAGCTTCTCTGTCGCAGAGGGGGGCTCGGGGTATGCTACGTCGCGGGCGCAGGATCTCCGCCGTCGCCATCCAACGCGTCGGCGGGGGGTTCGGGGAAGAGAGGGGCGGCCCCTCGAAATTGCGGCGGAGGGTCCGGGGTGAGGGGGGTAGCCGCTTTCAGGCGCGCCCCATGTGCGGAAGATTCATTCTCCGCCGCGCAGTGACTGCGCGCTCTCGCCGCCGCTGACGCCGTCGTCGTTATGTCGCGATTGCTGTCGCCGTCATCATTGCCGTCATCGTCGTCACCGCCGCCGCCGCCATCGTGGTCAGCGGGGCCGCAGTCGAGAGACCGTCGCCGCCGCGTCGTCTTCATCGTCTTCATTTATTCCGCACCAGAGCTTCTCTGCCGTGGAGGGGGGGCTCGGGGTAGAGACGGGTGGCCCCTTCAAGTTGCGCCATCGTCGCGGGCGCAGGATCTCCGCCGTCGCCATCCAACGCGTCGGCGGGGGGCTCGGTGTAGAGAGGGGTGGCCCCTCGAAATTGCGGGCCCGGGGGGTCCTGGAGATCACGGGGCCCTCGCGGACATGTGGGAGAGCCGTTTTTCCGGCGCCAGCGCCGTCGGCTATCAATGTCACCATCATCGTCGCCGCCCCGTCGTCGGCGCATGATGTCCGCCGTCGCCATCCAACGCGTCGGCGGGGGGCTCGGGGTAGAGGGGGGCGGCCCCTCGATGTTGCGGCGGAGGGTCCGGGGTGAGGGGGGTAGCCGCGTTCAGGTGCGCCCCATGTGCGCCCCCGAGGGCCCGGGGCCTTGGGGGGGCCAGCCTGGTGGCACGATCGAGTCGTCTTGGTTGACTCCTATTCCTATTCCTGCTCCTCCTCTTGCTTTTGTTCCGCTTCCAGCTCCGCTGTCGTCGTGTCCGCAGTCGTCATGTCTCGAAGGGCAGCGCAGGGCGCCCTAGCAAGCGCGTACCGCACTCGACAACGCTACCCAGCCCACTACGAGCTGCTAATGGAGGTGCTCTCAGATCATGACAAGAAGGCCGTCGAGGATCTGCAGTATCGGCGTATCGTCCCTGAGGATTACGAATTGCTGTCCGGACTGGACGCGAGCGTGTCCCGCAGCGCCCGGGATATGGACTACATCAACAGCGTGCTCGAGCGGTGCAAGGGCGGACACCCCGGCGATCCGGCGCCCGCGAATTGTATGATTTGCATGGAGGATGTCTCGTGCCGCCACCTACCTTGCAGGCATTCGTTCTGCTCCGACTGCCTCGTTTCAAGTTGGTCCAAGGTGGACGCGCTCGGCCTGATTTGCCCTGCGTGCAGGCAAGATGTGGCGGAAGGGTTGGCGCTCGCGGAGGAGAGAAAGGCCGGTGTCGCCACGGGCGGTTGCACCGAGGGCGCCGCGGGCGCAGGGGGCGCTGCGGAGCAGGGCGTCGGCGCTGCCGCCGCCAGCGCGGCCAGGCCCCTCGAGGGCGCCGCCCGCGCTGGTGCCGCGGGCGCGGGAGGCGTGGCCCAGGCGTCCGAAGAGGGCGACGTTGCGGGGGAGGGTGGCGAAAAGACGGTATGGCAGTGCGTGGTCGCTACCATTCTGTCCGAATCCCCAGACCTCTCCTCGGAAGTCGCGAAGCGCCTCCAAGTGGGGGACCGTCTCGAGGGCCTCGCCGTGCCTCGGATGGAGGGCCCGGTGATGCGGGTGCACGTGAGGATCGGAGACAAAGTCGGCTGGGTGACGTTGCGGAGCACTTCGGGCAAGGAGCTCGTCTCAGTCTTGGGCGCCGACGCTCAACCTGGCGCTGCCGACGGCCGTGGCGCGCCTGCCATGGCGCCCGGGGTGCCCTCGCCAAGAGCCCCGCAGTCGCGCCCGATGGCGGCTCCCGATGGCGCTGCGTTGTCGAGATCGGCGGACCCGCCGCCCGCGGTCCGAGGGGGAGGCGGTGCCGGGGATGCCCCGAGCCCAATTCCCCCCCCAGTCGCTGACGGCCCGCCCGCGAGATCGGCGGACCTGCCGCCCGTGGTCCGGGGGGGAGACGGTGCCGGGGATGCCCCGAGCCCAACTCCCCCCCCAGTCGCTGACGGCCCGCCCGCGGGGCTGCCCGCGGGGGCAATGACGCAGCACATGATAGTAGATGCGCAGTATTTGGAGATGGCAGTGAAGGGCATCAAGACCAAGGAGTACCGCGGGTTGACGACCGATTACTGGCGACGTCGGTTCCTCCAGGGTGGGCGGGACTGGCACGTCACCCGCGTGAGGATGAGGGCCGGCCGCGAGAAGTTCAGGCCGGAGGCGGTGTTCGAGATCGTCAACAAGGAGGTGATCAAGGTGGCCGACTTGGCCGACGTGTGCTTGCCCGACCGAGGTACGGAGGCGTGGGCCGGCTGTTCGGCGGGTGCACGGAAGTGCTGGTGTTGCACCTCGGTGGCATCGTAGAGAACCGCACCGAATGGCGGCGCGAGGTGGAGGGCGCGCAAGGGGGCCCGGTGCTGCGCGCGGTTTCCCCCGAGCGCGCGGGCGCCCAGGACGACGCGGAGGACGTGGAGGCGGGAGGGCGGTTGGGCCACCTGCGCCCAGAGGGTAGACGGGATTTTGGGTTTCTTCATGCGGCATGGCTGGAAAATCGTCGGCCTCGTCCGCGGGCGGGGGTTCCCCCAAGCGGGCCCAAGTGGTTCCCCCAAGTGGGCTCCAAAATCGTCGCTCCCTCCTTCCATATCGCTACCTTCCAGGGGCAGGGCCGCGTGCTCGTCGGCCAGGGCATCGGCGCGGAAGAAGAGCAGGCGAAGTGGAGGCTGGCGAGCTCCTTCCTGTCGCGGCGCGGAGGCCTCGTCTGGAACGAGGTGGTGGAGGCAGCACTGGGCGACAAGCAGAAGCTGTTCGACCGCGTCGTGGACTTCCGGGGCATGCACGCGACGCTGCTCACAATGTCAATCGGGGCGCTGAGACAAATCGGCCAGGCTGCCATGTTGCACCGGGACGTGATCCGGGAGAAGAAGCCTGCACTTGTCTACCACCTAATCCGCTGGTGCCGCCAGGCGGCGGTCGATGACGCGGCGTCGGCGGCCCCGCCCGCCGAGCCGGCGGCGGAGGAGGCGGAGACGGAGGAGAACCCGTTGGCGGACGCCCCACTCCTGATCCCGCGCGCCAAAGTGGCGCGGATCATCCGCGCCCTGCTGCCGCTGTTGTCGGCGAAGAGGTCCGGCCACGCAGAAGGCGCGCCGCTGAAAATCACCGATGAGGCCGTGGGTGCCGTCCACGAGCACCTCGAGTACGTCCTGCGCGCTCTGGTGAGCGACGCTTTCGCTGTGGCCGAGTGGGCGAATAAAGACCGCGTGAAGAAGATGTCCATGACTGCGCTGGCCGTCCGGATGTCAGGCTCTATCCAGACGAAGACGTTCGTGGCCAGCAAGCGGAAGCGCAGGCTTGCCAACGTCCTGGATGACCTTGCGAAGCTCGCGGGGAGTGTTTACGACGGCGATGCGTCGGTCGACTGGGTTGGTTGCGACGAGCTGTCCGATTTCCTCTTCAGGAAGTTCATCTCGGCCGAGAAAAGTGAGAAGATTCGCGTGCCTGCGGCAGCTTTCAGGGATATGCGGTGTTTCACGTTCCACTTCCTCGACGCGTTCCTTTCCCAGGGCGTCGAATCGGCGCGCCGCTGCGGTAAGAACACTCTGACCAAGCGGATCCCCGAGCCTTCGGCCCAATCTGCCCCCTGGCCAGCCTGGGTCGCGGGCGCGAGGCTTCCTGCGGGGGCGTCGCGGTGTGTCACGGGGGGCCGTGGGGGACTCTTCGGATGTGTTGGGCGTCCCGGATCTTCGCGGGGCATCCTGGGTGGCGCAATGGGGCCGTTTTGTGGTTGCCCTGGGGCTCCGTTGGGGCTCCGTTTGTCTTATATGTATATATATGCATATATATATATATATATATATATATATATACTCATCCATTTGGAGCCGTCTTCGGGCGCTCATGGGGGCCGCTGGGGCTCGCGGTGTGTCACCGGGGGCCGTGGGGGACTCTTCGGATGTCTTGGGCGTCCCGGATCTTCTCGGGACATTCCGGGTGCCGCAATGGGGCCGTTTTGGGGGTGCCCTGGGGTCCCGTTGGAGCAATATCGGTTGTTTTGTTTTTTTTGGCCATCTTCGGGCGCTCATGGGGGCCGCTGGGGCCGTCAAGGAGCAATCGAGGAGCGTTCGAACTCGTGTCTCGAGGCACAGTGGCGGATTTTGCTCGTCTGATGTAATGGCGCGGGCCCCTGTGTCAGCGGGGCCTCGGCTGAGGGCCAAGGCGCGACGTTTCCGGGGTTGCCCCGAGTTGGGTCTTTGCCTTCGCATATGTTTAATTTGCTGTAGTAGCATTTCTGCGGCGAGCGCCTTCCGCATTTAAGTGCATTTACTTGTTCCTTGTGGCATTTATTTGAATTTATTGAGCCCGCAGAGCGGGAATCACGGCGGGTCTCCGCGGGGAATTTCGCACGCAGATTTTGGATTCAGTTGGTGTTCGGGGGTGCGGCTTCGAAGGGGCCTGGTACCAATCATCCCTTGGGGGTTGAGCGGTCTTGGGGTTTAGCTGATGACCTTGGGAAGCGAATGGGGTACGAAGTGCGTGAGGGTGGTTTCGAGTTTAAGCTCAGTTAGGCCATCCGAGGGGTCAGTTGAGGGCCCGAGACATGACGTGCGTGATGGGGTATATCGAATTGAGGTTCCCTTTGGCTGCCTCTGGCTGCCTCCCAGGGGAGCCGTGGCCTCGTAGCGGTGGCGGGGTCGGGGTCGAGAGGGGTGGCCGCCTGTCAGTGGCGACTCATCTGCCCAAGATATGCCCACCGCCGCGCGGCGGTTCCGGGGTTGCCCCGAGACGCGCCCTTGCGCCATCTGCCGAGTATTCGCCCTCCGCCTCGCAGCGACTGCGCGATCCCCGCGGCCGTTGCCCCTGTCCCCCCTGAGTTGCGTCCCCGTGCAACCGTTTCACCAGGGGCTCGGGGTCGGGATCGGTGCCCCGCTTAGCCTGCGCCCCTCTGCCAAAGGTACATCTTCCGCCGCGCGGCGAGGACGGGCCCTGGTGGGCTCTGGAAATGCCCACCAGAGACATCCCGCCGTGGACGGGCCCCAGGGGGCATGGGGGGCTTTGGGCATCCCCAAGACGCAGGAGACAATATTCTGGTGGGAACAAAATTCAATGAAAGCAAACAACTACAGCCGCGAATCGCACACTCATATTTGCCTATTAAAAGCGCTCCGAATGTGCTAATCCACACAACGATATACAGAAGAAACAATGAAAATAAAAAAAGCAATCACGATTCGTCGTCGGTCTCAAAATGCTCTCGGTTAACCTCGACTTCAACCCCGCCTGGGCCCGCCGGAGCTCCCTTGTTGGAATTGCACTTGGAGCCTTTGTTGGAGGATGTTGTGATCGTCGTTTCGATTTGGCACTCCACAAGCTTCCTTTTGGGCTCTGTGTCCAACTGTTCCAGCCTGTCAGCGGCCCCTTGGACTGCCGCATGGTCGAGAGCTCCCGTGGCCTCGACTCCCTGCAGGTCGTCCCCGCCGTCGTCATTCTTGTCCTCGCCTCCTCCTCCTCCTCCTCCGGGCGATGCCGCTCCCGCCCTCGGTGCCGCCCCACTCCTCGACGTCGGCCCAGTGGGTTTTTTTGGGGGGTGGCAGCGGAGGCGTCGTGGGCGATCCGCGGGCCTCCCCGCGCTCTTGGCGGGCCAGGGCCGCGTGGGGATGGCCCCCCCCTCGCCGCCCGAGGCGGGCAAGGGGGGGGCCGCCGCCCCTCCGTGGCCGTTGTGGCCATCTGGGCTCGGGCCGTCGCGGGCCGGGGCCCGGGCGCTCGGACTGCCCCCGCAGCTCCGCAAGGGCGTGGCTCCGGGAGGGCGGCGCTGCGGGTGGCATGTCGAACAGGGAGGCGCACGATCTGGAGGCGGCAGGCGACGGTCTCATGGAGCAGGCCGGCAAGAGGTGGAACAAGACCACGAGGGCGTTCGACGCGGTGGCCGGACACGCCGCTTGCCCCGAAGATGCGAAGTACAAGAAGCAGGCGAAGGAGAAGTACGACGAAGCGAGAAGGAAACGCGTGCAACTTAAAGGAATGGTAGAGCAGTCCGTGAACAAAGACGGCACCAATGACGTGAAGAACGCGAAGGGCCATCAGGACGCCATCGACTATATCGACGCCAAGAAGAGCGCGATGTGAGGTCAGAGTGAGGGTCGCCACGCGCCATATCTGAGTGCGTTGCGGCATTTGTGTGTGTAAATACATCTATAGGTTTCTGACGGCTTTAAGCTCCCCCTTCCCCTCCTCCTTCTTCTCCCTCCTCCTTCTTCTCCCTCCTCCTTCTTCTCCTCTCCCTTGCCCTCCTCCTCTCCCCCTCCTCCTCCGCCTCCTCCTCGGGGCCCGCCCCTCAAGTTAGCTGCCTTCCCTCGGCGGCGTCCGTGGTTGTCCCGCGCGATAGCGCCTGGTTCGAGGATTGCCCGCGCCGGGGGGCCCGTCGGGTAGGAGTTTCGACAGTTGCAGATGGACTCCACCGCCATGTTCCGCGAGGTCGCCCTGTGCGGGTTGGCGCAGGAGCAGGGCATCGCCGCTCTGCGGGCGTGCCTCGCCGACGCCCGCGGCGACGAGACACTTCGCGCCACCGAGATCAGTTCTGCCGTGGCGCGTCGTGCCGTCGTATGGGGCGATTCCGCGGCGTGGGATGACATGAGGGATTGTATCCAGTCTCGGTTGGCCCCCGGGTCCCGGCCGCTGCCATCCCCAGTCGTGTCCGTGTCTGCCGCCCACTTCCGCGATTCAGATTTCACCGTTCCCGACCCGAGGGAAGACGCTGTCCTGGTCCACGGCGGGTTGGAGAACGATTACGAGTCCGCGGAGGATGGGTGTCACTTCTTGCCGCTGCTTCACGTCGACGAGCATGGCCAGTTGCCCCCGTGCCCGTCACCGAAGTGGGCCGACATGGTGGCGTCCGTCGCTGGTCGCAGCGGCGATCTCGTGCTGGAGTCGCGCGTCCGCGACGGGGGCGACTGCTACTTCCACGTGCTCCTCGTCCTCCTGCATTTCCGGGGCGTTCTGCTGCTCGCGCCGGGCGGCGCGTCGGCGGCACCTGGGGGGGGCGGTGCCGGGGTTGCCCCGAGCCCCCCTTCCCCCGCGGGCTCACCAGCCGGCCCAGGTCCAATCGTTGACGGACCTCGGAAGAGCCCCGAGCTCGCCTCTCAGCCCCCGCCTGAGTCGCCAGTTTCTGTGGAGAAGACGTCGCCTGTGTCGTTCACCTCCTTCAGGAATGGGGCGCGATTCGAGGATTCTCTTGCAGAGAGTGCCAGCTTTCGCGTCCCAGACCCCACGGGCGAGAGTCTTGCCGCATTGCAGGCTATAGTCGAAGAGCTCCCGGAGGACGAGGCATCGAAAGCGATCGAAGAGTTCTTGTTCCCCGACATCGTCTTCGAGGGATTTAACACGAAGGAGGAGGTGTACGAGACAGTTCTCCGCAGGGCCATGAGGGCGTGGGAGGACACCCGGTCCCGCCGCCAGATTGCCAGCGAGCTGGATTTCGATTTGCGCACCATCGCGCCGAAGCTGTTGGCGGACGCCGTCCACGCCGCAGGCAAGGCCCGGGGTCTGTCCGCGGAAGCGCTGCTCGCCGCTGTCGAGTGCAACATGGGTTTCATCGAGGCGCCTGGAACGACGCTCACGCACTTGCCGTCGTCAGGCCATTACATTTCCCCTGGCCAGCCCCTCTTGATTGGCAGTGCGTCCTCCACGCGGAAATCACCTTTGATGCAGTGCACGGATAAATGGTTGACGCAGGTCCCGGAGGCCTCCCCTGTTTTCAAAGACAAGTTGGTCATGAACACGGACTGCACCACGGAGGGCATTCGGAAGCAACTCGAAGAACACAGGCGGTGCGGCATTTCCAGCGACGAGGCCGCCAACGCGTTCCTGACGCCCTTCAGCGACCAGGAGTCCGGGGTGCAGTATCTCAGCTGCGCGAAGCTTAACACGTGGACGCAGAGCGAGTACGACGGACCGGCGACCGGCAACGGCAAGGTGTCTTTGGACAACTACAATTTCATGCTCAAGTGCTCGGGCCAGACGGAGGTCGTCGAGTTTATCGCCATGCCGATAGTGCACGGGTTCCAGAAGCGCATGCAGACGGTGTGGGTCTTCCATGACAGCGGGTGAACCCTGGGCCCATCACATGTCGCCATCCTGCCTACCACGCGGCCGAACACTCGGCCTCACTCCTCAAGCTAACATCTTCTGGCCCATATTTGGCCTGAGTCCTCAAGTTCGCTTCTTTTTGGCCCGCTTCTTCTCGCCTCATCTTGGTCGTGCCCGACTCTCGGGGCTGTTTCCGAGTGCAGCGGGTCTTGGCGGGACCCTCCAGGACGTGCGCGCAGACGACGGGGTCGATTTCGAACAGAGCGACTCATTCATCGAGCGGCTGCACGGATGGATGCACGCGCATTGTTCCGCTGTCGCCAGCGCACTCTCGCTCGACGGCTACGCCTACACCATATACCGTGCTGCGAAGCAGGCTCTGGATGGCATCTGTCAGACCGTGCCGATGCCACAGGTGTTCAAGGCGAAGTTGAATTTCTTTCACAGCGACTTGCTTCGCGGAACGCACCGGGTGCACCGCGGGGCCCAGTTCGCCAGGGACTACAGCGCCCAGCATGCCGCCCAGGGCGGCGGCGGCGCCCTGGCGCCGCTTCCGCCCCTCGATGCCGCTCGCTGGCGTCGCCTCCCCAGTGTCGACGACGTCACGATGGGCCTCCACAAGGTGCTGCGCCAAATTGACCTTCACTTCGGGTTGTGCCGTTTCCACGCAGCCCAGAAGGCCGCAGCCGCCGAGGGCAATCATCGCTCTGGTGCCGACTGCAGGGGCGTTGGCGGATGTTCGGCGGCCGTTCTGGCAGCTCCCGACGTCGCGGAGGCCGCGGTGAAGGGTCTCACGCCGTCCGAGCGGATGCGGCAATTTTTGCTCATCCGCGCCCCCAAGGGGCAGACTTTCACGGCGGCGGACGCGAGGCAGTGGCTCCGAAACAAGAGGGATTCGTGGTACAGGACGGACCTGGCCCAGAAGATATCCGACGGCCTGGCGGCGCTGGTCGCGGCGCATCTCGTCGACAGGGTCGCTGGCGTCGCCGACGCGGGGGAGTCCACCTCGAGGGCCGAGGCGGCGCCAGGCGGCCTGAGCGTTGTTTTCTAGCGAATTGGCACTGCCGCGCCCGGGGGCTCGGGGTAGACAGGGGTGGCCCCGTTCGCTTTCCCTTCTTCATTCCTGGCTGGGTGGGCCCGGGCATGAATTCTCGGCAGTGGGCCCAGTCGCCCGCGGTCGCCCCGCAAATTTCCACGGGCCCTTGGCGGGAGAGCCCGAGTCGCATGCAGACCGAGCGCCCGGGCTCTCGACGGGCGACGGGGGTTCAGTGCGCCCTCGAGGCAAGCGCGCGGTCAACCCCAAGGGCGAGGGCACGTTCAAGAAGCGCAAGCTCGAGGCCATCTTGGCGGACGCCGACGCCACGGAGGAGCGCAAGCGCTTGCGAGTCAACACGAGCGAATTTGAGTGATGAGGGGGCGCCTTGAACCCGGGCGCATTCTGGCCGTCAGCCGACCTCCGCGCATCAGAACCTCATGGATGGTTGGGATCTCGTGGATGGCTGATATTTCTGAGCGCCTCTTGGGCGCCTTTTGGGATGTAATGGAATCCTCTTGGGGCCTCTTGAGGTCAGTATCGGGCCTGTTGGGAGTTTTCTGGGAGCCTCTTGGGGGTTTGTGGGAGCCTCTTGAGGTTTCTTGGGCGCCTTTTGGGGGTTCTTGAGGCCACAGGAAATTATTAGAGGGCTCTCTAATCTCCAGGGGCCCCCAGTGGATCCCAAAAGGCACCCAAAAAGAGTCGCGCAGGCGCATGTACTTTGTATCTCTAAGGGTGCCCTCAAGGAGCCCTGCTGGGTCCCTTTCGGGGCCCCCTGGAACCTGTTTCAGAGAGTTCCCGAGATTTTCCAAATCCCCAAAGAGCTCACCAGGAATCCAAGAAGGCCCAATGAGGGCCCCCAGTAGATCCCAAAAGCATCCAAAAAGAGGTACACTCTTGCATATACTTTGTGCCTCTTTGGGGGGGCTCTCTTGGAGATCTCTCAGACCTTCCTGGGATCCTGTCGGAGCCCTCGGAGCCCTGCTAAAGGGAGCTCCCGAGACTTTCCGAACCGAATACCCGAGGAGCCGCCAAGGAAATCCAAGAAGGCCCCACGAGATTCACCAGGGAACCACAAAAGACACCGCAAAAAGAAACACACTCGCGCAGGGTCATATTCAGGGTGCGCGTTGATGCGTAGCTCTCGCGCCATGCCAGCGGAAGCCGCGGTGCCGCTGCGCACTCGCGCTCCATTAGCTCATAATCAGCGCCATGCATTGAGCTGCTCTCTCTCTCTCTCTCTCTCTCTCTCTCTCTCTCTCTCTCTCTCCCTCTCTCTATGCATCGTCCGAGGGAGAAGGAGCGCTTCCGGGGTTGCCCCGAGCCCGAGTTACGCCCTGGCCCTCTTATATCCTTTCATTTACATATGTTGCACTGGCACGTGATTTTGCGTGTGCCGCATTCATATTAATTTCCACCCAGGAAATTTATTTGCATACATGTGCGCAGAGCGGCCCCCCCGCCGTGAATTCAGACAGTTGTCGCAGATACGCCGTGCACCATCGACCCCGTCGTACCGGCCATCTTCGCATTCGAAATTTCATCACTATCATCTTCATCATCGCCGCTAGCGCGCTCGGCGCATCCATCTTCGCCGTCGTTATCCCTCGTAGCAGCAGATGTTTCGGGGTAAGGAGGAGTGGCCCCATCTGGTTGCGGCCCTCTGCCGAAATTGCCCTTTCTGGCGCGCGACGTCTGCGCGCACCTCGCGGACGCTTCCGGGGTTGCCCCGAGTTGCGCCGCTGTGCTCTCGCAGCGGCAGGGCGCTCGGGGTAGAGAGGGGTGGCCCCCTTTATATTGCGCCCTGATTGAAGAGTGAGAACAAGATGAAGATCATGAGGTGATGGAGGAGCAGGCAGGAGGGGAAGACAGGAAGGGGAGGAGGAGGAGGAGGAGATGGAGGAGGATTGGGACGAGGAGGAGGAGGAGAAGGAGGGGGAGGAGAAAGAGGAGGAGGAGGAGGGGGATACGGCGCGAAGACCACAAGAAAGAGAGAGCTTTCAGGCGAGGTCTCCGGATGCATGCCCTCATGGATGACAGCGGGAGCGATGACATGGCCGACGATGACGCTGTCTTTGACGATGCAAGCCGGATGACAACGGGAGCGATAACATGGCCGACGATGACGCTGTCGTTGACGATGCAAGCCCAGACGACGAGGACGACGACGACGTTATGTTGAACCATGTCGCGCTATGTCGAATCGTCTTATGTTGTACTTGCCCTGCTAAACACCTCAGGCCCCACGGAGGCGACCCCCAGCGGTCGCGAGTCGATCGGACAACGCCGCCGCGCCGACGGGGCGAAGGCGCCTGGGGCGACGACAACGACAGGGACAGCGACGAAAACGGCGATGGCGACGAAGACAGCAAGAAAAAAAACGACAATCGAAACTAGGATTTCCAAGAACTTTGGATGTGTGTGCCTGCAGAGACCTGCAGAAATCTCAGATGACCTCCAAGGAACTTCGCAGGCCTCGAGAGAATCTGCAAGGGGCGTTCTCCTCCTCCTCCTCCTCGTCCTCCTGATGGACGCCGATTGCCAGATCCACATCTCCTCCTTCTCTGCCGCTTCGTTATCCCTTTCCCATTATCCGTCTTCCTCTTCTCTTCAGGCTGTGCAGGCTCGAGCCCGGCAGCACGAGTGCCAACGGTGCTGATTGGGGAGCGGTGCCGGGGCTCAACACATGCTACTGTTGCGGCGGCAAGACGGACTACGACATGGAGAAAAAGCAGCACGTGCGGTGCGAGGCTGTGATCCGGACTGACAGGTGGGCGCAATTGCTCACGATCAATCAGGAGATCGAGCAGGAAGGAGTTGGCCAAGCGTGGTACTGCCATTGTGG